CCTCATTATTTATCGGGTCAGAATCTGGCCCCTATTCTGCAGAGTAATCGGGGGTCCCTATCCTGCAGAGTAATTAGGACATCCCAGGGTGGAAACAGATTAGGCTGCGTTCATACTTTGCGGCAGCGTAAACCAGTGACAAAGAGCGTCCACCAGCGAACAACAGCGTCTCGAGGACTAGGGGTATAGGTATCGAATCTGCGCCAACTCTACTACGAGCGGCGTCCGGGATATATGACGATAGGAGGGCAGCAGACAGCTGGTAGAGTAGGGGGATAGGAGAGTAACAGAGTGCTGGTAGTGATAGAGAGTATAGCGCGATAGAAGCGAAGCACACGCTGATACCTCCACTTTTCGCCCCATAGTCTCTACAACCAGCCTGCCACCCTCCTATCTCCCGATACTCTACCAGCATCATACATACATCTCCCCTATTCCGTGTCTAGACCCCCCCCCCTTTGTGTACTGCATCTCAGAGCATTTACTGCACTCGTCTTTCACCTGACAACCCTTTTGACAGTACCTTTCTGGATTATATAATACAATGTGATGTTTTGTCAAAACTGACACTTTTTAAGATCCGATATACTCGAGGGCGTAAAGGGAAGCTTTTTGAGGACGCTCAGAAGAGCAACAATTTGACATTAAAGTATGTACAGCTTTACGGACGACTCTTTTCTGTCCTGAGCTGAGTCCAGTTAAGTGAGCGATATTCAGTGAGTTCCAAGAAGTGATGAATTCATTGTTACACATGGAAGATGGTACGATCAACAATGATTTGAGGCGTGCTTGGTTTGAAGGCAAGGTCAATACCGAATCGTTACGAAGGGCATGGCTTCGCCACGAAGGCACGGAAAAGGCGGGTTTTGAGGCAATGATCACTATTTTTACAATGATCACATCATAATGCCAAATATTCTCGTGAAATGGCCGTGGTGGTGACAGACTTGTGACGTTTGACGGAAGCTGCACAATGCTGCGTTCATACCTTGCGTTTTGAATGTTTCGGGGGTACTCATTTGAGCATTTCGAGCGACAAGAGGACAACGAGAGTATTAGTATCAATCTAGCGTTAGAACAATAACCGATACCTATGCTTCAATAATCGCCAAAAAGGCAGCCTTTTTGGCGTTTATTGAAGCATAGGTATCGGTCTATCGTTCTGAGCGTAGCTGACGTTTTCAGCGTTTTCACGGGCTTCTGACAGACGGTCGCTCGAAGCGGTAGTGGACGCTCAGACCGGAAAAGGACCAAATGAGAACAATTAAACAAATACCTAAAAAGAATTGCAAAGAACACTTCATCACAAAAACAAGAGAGAATTCACGTCCTTATATGCTTCGTAAGACAAAAAACAACTTACCTCGAAAAAAAAACTACGGTAAAGAAAGTGAAAATCGGGGAGAAAGTGGCTAAACCAAGCTGGAAACAGCTGATCGTTGCCAACAGTTCCTATGTGACGCGGTCGCTGCTGCAGCCGCGTCTGCCTAAGCAACTGCTCGGATGACGACTGTGGATCTTGATGTGGCTGCGTTCATACTTTGTGGCAGCGTCCATCGGCGTCCACTAGCGACCTAGCGGTCCGAGCGTTCAGCGGCGTCAGCGACTGGGGAATAAAGATATCGATTTGGCGTCTGCTAGCGTCTAACACTGGCGTCAGATCGAATATGCATCCCTTCTTTAAGATGCGCCACGCATTCTAATCTATTCAGAATCGCAGAATCTGCTGCCTACTAAATACGATGCGGCCTATATAAAGGCTTGCGGGGTTAGCCGATTCACAAGTCATTGTTTTTAGCCTCCTAGAATAATCTGCTGCCAATTCACTGTTTCTGGAGGGCGTAAGGCCCCTATGGCCCAGGTAAAAGCCAATCCGAAATTCGAACTATTCACCGCTAGACGAGCCATTTGCACTCCACCACCTACGCCTCTTAGGGGCCATATTGTACAAAAATATACATTTTACACTTCAGCCAGAAAACTTCACCTTCCCGCGGAAAATTCGGGTCTCGGCTGCATTGGCTGCAGCTTTGCGTGATGCTAATAGTCGAGTCACCAAGAAATGGATGAAATTTGTCAAACTTGAGTAAGTTTTGAATAATAATTTTTCGCAACGTTACAAGCTATTCCGGGGGTGTTTGGAACAGGAAAGATGATATTAGCTGACTAGAAAATCCGGGTACATTTGTAGTTTTGTGCTTCCAGCGATTTAGTTTCCGGCCTTGTCCATGGGAACACGAAGGGAAAGCCTTGAAGGCAGTTGGCACGATAATTTGGTAATCTGTTCAAAATGGTAGCAGGTGCGCTTAGTGGTAAAAAGGCGGAAAATGTGGAAAAGTGAAATTTTAGAAACTCTAAAAAGGCCTTTGTTCTGCCTCAGAGAGTAATTTCGGACGAGTTACTCGCTGGCATCAAGTCAGGAACCGCTACGATAAAAACCTGTATATATGTACCCTCGTCATCCGGGCAGTTGATTAGGGCGGTCGTCAACGGGCCGCAGCGCGTGCCAGGAACTATTTGCTTTTTCCAGACTAATTTAGTCATTTTTCCAACTTTTCACTGTTTTGGCTACTTTTTCCCAGATTAGCAGCTCCTTATCTTCACAAGGTGGAAAAAATGACTAAATTAGCCTGGAAAAGCAAATAGTTCCTGGCACGCGCTGCGGCCCGTTGACGACCGCCCTAATCAACTGCCCGGATGACGAGGTTATATGTGTATATTCCTCATTATTCCTACATGTCTTGGAGATTCATCGTGCCAACTGCCTCTAAGAAAGCACACCACGCACTTGCTCAGGCTGCTTTCATACTTTGCGACAGCGCCCACCAGCGATCACAGTCTCGCCAGCGACTATCGGAGTCTTGAGGGACTAGGAAAGTATGGATATCTGGCGTCTACCAGCGTCTACTAGCTACAACCACCGTCCACCAGTGAAAAGGAGTATGGTATTGTGTAGTGGTGCGATGCGGTTGCACACACCATAATTTCACGACGCCTAATCCAGCTGTCTACTCCCTCCTACTTCCAAACGCTCAAAAGCAGTCTGCTACCCTCCTGCTTCCCCATACACTCTACTCCGTCACGCTGCTGGACGCCGGTAGACGCTGGATTACTTTCAAGTCCTTCGAGACCTTGATGGTCGCTGGGGCGCTGGTGGACGCTGCCGCAAAGTATGAATGCAGCCTTACTCTCGTAGTGCTATCATGCCTCTGCGAGTGGTGCCAGATCAAGAGTATATCGGCACTGTTATGCTTCTCCTGCTCGTGTTTCCTTCCTCAGTTTCAATTGCCGCAACCCATCTGTACGGGTTGTGTCGCCTAACGAATAGCCATCCATATTTGGTCCCTCAAACTGTGACTTTGGGTTAGGAAATGTAAAAAAAAGAAAAAAGGTTTGCATCAGATTCGAGTGATCTGTGTGGGACTATATTCTCGTCCGCTGCCAGTGCAGGGTCGTATCAGGGGGTTAGGCTGGGTTTTCGCGGCACCACACAAATTCCGTTGTTGTCGTTCGTCGCTCGCGTTCGTCTTAAACAACTGGTGAGGAACGGGTCGACACCGCGCCAACCCAGCCGGGTTAGCGCCGCGCTCAGATTTGATACTGAACCCGCTCTCCACCGCTATTCAAAGCGGATCGAGGGATGAGCTATCTTCTCAGTCAAGCGCTCTAGGAGATCGCCCAAAGATTGCTCCCCCTCCCTCCCCCTCCTTTTAACTGACGTTCTTGCGATAATCGTATTCAGAAAATAGAAGCAACCACAGGAACAGAAAAAAAAAGTTAGTTCTCCCTCTGAGACAAATTCCAGTAGAAATCTAGGATGAATTTCGACATCTGGGGCAGTGAGGGATGAACAGTGCCACTCGCGGTATAGGAACCGTAGCCACATTCATTTAAAGGCAAGTGGCGCAATAAAACCCTAAGACATGTTAGGATTAATAGGCCTAGCAGGACAGATTTCGGCGCCTCTGAGCAGGGGTGCGTGGTGCCTTTCTGAGGAGGGACCTTTATAACGCCTCATCAAGCTACCTATCGACCCGGACGCATGGACGACCGTACCTGGTGCTCATATTGCTTCATTAGTTGGGTAAAATCTGAAGTGAAGGGATTGATATGAAGCGGCTGCATGGATATATGAGTACATATGAGCAGTCCACCGTAGCGATTATTGGTATGATGCCAACGGGAACTCGTCCGAAATTGGTTCGTGAAATGTGCAGAATACAGGCTTTTTGCAGGTTTTTGATCGTTTCACTTCATTTTTCGCCACTATATAGTGTTCCTGCTAGCATTTTAGACCGAATATCAAATTATGGTGCCTCCTGCCTTGGAGAGTTGCAGCGAACAGACCATATACCCATCTTTCTTCCTTGCAACTTGTTCGTAATTTTCATTTGTTCCATGGATTCAGCTGGAAATGAGCTACCCCTCAGTTTATGCAAATGAAATGTGATGAGACGTTCTCTTTCAGTGAGTCAATGGACTTTTCTAAGCAATATATTGAGGCAACAGTACAAACTGCAAACGCTCTGTCAGTATTCGATACGCCTCGTCTCACTGTTGGTTTACAAGGCGAGTTACGTTAGGCTGCATTCACACTTTGCGGCTGCGACCATCAGCGTCCACCAGTCCTCCACCAGCGACCAACAACGTTCAGGAGGAAGCGTATGGGGAGCAGGAGGCCAGCAGACATTCACTTCCCCATAGTCTCCCCATATTCTATACCAGCAGTCTGCTACACTCCTATCTCCTCAACTCTCTACTCCTGGACGCTGCTGGTCTCTAGTGGACGCTGGTGGACGCTGCCGATACCTCTACTTCCCTGTTCGGCTGGACGCTGACGGGTCTGAAATGCTAGTTGTCGCTGCGCCAACTATGAACGCAGCCTTGAAGCTCTTTATTTGTCGCAGGACTTTCCAATTGTTGATCGTGTTTCAGCCCGCCCGCTTAGAGGAGTGCGAACCTTGCTGTTGAAGGAAGCTCGTCTAAATCTAGATCGAAAGATGCTCATCATTCCTGCTGCCGCTCCTGACATGGAAACATCATCAATACTCGCAGCATTTGTGGTGGCGGTGGTTATGCGTGAGTTGGACCATCGACTTTCAACTTGAATGCAGCAGGATATTTGAAAGATTGAACTTCCGCTTTTTGCCTACATTCTCTATAGTGGACCTTTCAAGCACAGGTCCATAGTAAGGAGGCATAGGTAAATGGTTTGAGACGGTGTAGGAGAAACTGTGAAGTGAGTCTCTGGGAAGGAAAATGTCGAACACCTCTGATAGGGCCCCTCCGGCTTCAAACAATCGCACAGGTGACAAAAACGCTCGTTTGGTACGAGCTCAGCCGGCTGATTTCTGTAAAGGACCCTATGACATCATGGGACAGAGAGCATCCACTTCAAGCTACATGCTTGTTGAGTGGCATCGCTTTCGGCTCTAAGGCGAACTTTGAAGGCTGAGTCTGTAGGCGGAGTCGCTGAGAAAAGGGAGGTGCCACTGGGAAAACTGTCTCCTTTAACTCCCTCATCTTACAACTTTCTGGCGCAAGGCCGTCCAATTGCGGACCACACTACCCTCCCACACAATTTTTTGCGTTCTCGTAGGTTATGTAGATCCGTTCCTTTGAAACTTATATAGCTACGTTATCAACGTACGCATGTCCCTTTGGATAGCACAACAGGACAGCGAGCTACCGTATTTTATGCCCTATGGAACTGAGTGTAGCCTGCGTTCTTCCATCGTATGTCAAGTACAGTCCTCAACTCGATGAATTCAGCAGTTATACTGTAATGGTACTGTACTGCAGAGCAAATACTAATTAGACACGTCTGCGAATCAGACATGGCTTCAGATACATGGCGTATACTAAATCTGGAGCAAGACCATTCTCTTCTCCTGAACTATGCAGTAATCATACTCATATCTAGGCGCATGGGATCCAGAAGCACACAGGTTAGACTCGCGAGAAGCTCTAGAACTATCGTTTACATTTCATGTATTGAGAGCTGAAGAGCTCGCCTACGAACAGCTTTTGTCGAGCGAAGAATGGCTTGGAGAAGGGAGCAAGGTTTGGTTACACCTACCACTAGTCGCATATTGAGAATCTATCCCGCTAGAATGATTCCAGAGAAAATCGCTTATATCGGAAGATATATTGAATCTGGCAGCTGATAACATTAGGAAGAATTATCGTAGAAAAGAAACAAATGTCAGGAAGGTAGGTACTTTTGTACAAAAGAATCGAGCTATTGCAGATCTACTTACGGTTCCTCAATCTTTCGCCGCAAACCATCGCCAAACTTTGGCATGACTTAGAGGCATATGGCACGAAAATTGACAAAGCATGCAGGGCTGCTAGATCTAGCACTAAAGAACAATGTATCTCTTAGCAGGCATTGTGTGGCGTCTTTTCCATACTTTACGGCAGCGTCCACCAGCGACATCATCGTTTCGAGCGTCCGCCAGCGTCAGCGACTAGGAAAGTATAGAATATCGATCTAGCGAACGGCGGCAGCGTCTACCAGCGTCCGCTAGCGACCATCAGCGTCTCGAGGGACTAGGAAAGTACGGATATCGATCTAGCGTCTACCAGCGTCCACCAGCGACCAGGAGTAGAGAGTATGGGGAAGTAGGAGGGTAGCAGACTGCTGGTAGAGTATGGGGAAGTAGGAGGGAGCAGACAGCTGGATTAGGCCTTGTGAAATCGTGGTACAACCGCACCGTGCTACTGCACAATACACCTGGTCGGTGGTGGTCGCTGGTGAACGCTGGTAGACGCTAGCAGACGCTAGATCGATATCTACACTTTCCCAGTCGCTGACGCTGCCGGACGCTCGAAACGCTAGTGGACGCTGCCGCAAAGTATGAACTCGTTAGATACCAGTCGGCATTGGGAGCTCTGAAGTACATCCACTTTTCAGGAACAGTTCGATCGCGTTACGAGCATAACAACGTGGCGTCGTGACCGATATAGCGATACGGCAATCACATTTACGATGTCTACACAAAAACCGTGTGTTGAAACCACTTTGATGTACAGTTGATGTCATCGCGATCAGTCGGGGCGGTGTCAGGAGGCATGGTATGAGCCCATCCCATGGCGTTTCCTGCCAGTGGCTGCTTTCTTTCACTACATTTCGGACCACACTAACGATCACTATTGTCTAGTGCGGCCGCGGAAGGGCTCACTCCACTCCGTGACACGTAAGTACCGACTGATTTGCGTCCATAATCAAGTAATAGCTGACGAGACCAATTTCAACGTTCACAGGCGCTGCTGTGGGTGTCGAATATGATTTTCGGCGGACGATAAAAGGCTTCGGGAAGTCTTCCTAATAGGGCCTCTGTTCTTCCGGTTAGTTTTCAGGCATTCCATGACGAGCATTCAAAGAATCGAGGACAGCTGTATTGCGCTTGGGGAGAAGCCTGAGACCAAAAGAGAGGACATTAAAGCAAGATGGCAGACTCAATCCCACACAGATAGTATGAGCGCAGCGAGTTGTATGGTGATAGCGTAGTGGCCGATGAATGGTGGTCCCAGAATTTCTTGATTTCTCAGCGGCAGAGCTTTGCCATCGTGCTTATCGTCTCCGCCCATTTTTTGATAATCTCTCTTTCCTTATCACATCAATCCGCCACCATCGATGTGCATTCTCCTTCACTACTGAAGGACTTAGCACATTGGCATTCCTATTTGAACCCACTATCGACGAGTAGGATTAGCGCGCTGCTCTCAAGCCATCATAGAGTACGCCTCTAGATGAAGCATGAGAGATAACCTTGAAAGGCAGTTGGCACGATGATTTGGTGCTCGGCCTAAAATGCTAGTAGGGCGCTATAGTGGGAAATGGCGAAAGAACGGAGTGAAACGGTCAAAATCCTGCGAAGAAAGAGCCTCCGTTCTCAATGTGTTAGAAATCAATTTTGGACGAGTTTCCTGTAGGCATCTTGCCAATAACCGCTACCGAAGGTACGGCTGCATATGTGTACTCATATATCCATGCAGCATCACGGCCGCTTCATACCAATCCCTTCGCTTCATAATTTGCTTAGCAAATGAATCGATTAGAGCGTCAGGAACGGTCGTCCATTTGTGGGCGGGCGGGCGTGGCGGGCGTTTGGGTCGGTATGTTGGCTTGATAGGGCCCTTATAAGGGCACCTCCCTTGGAAAAGGCATTATGCAGCGCCTGCTCAGGGTCGCGGAATTCCGTCCTGCCAGGCGTATTAATCCTACTCGTCTTGGGGGATTTATCGTGCCAACTGCCTTTGAACATGATCCGTCGTTTGCATTAGGCTTTGCTCTGTTCAGATTCGGTTTGCCGTGGTCAGGTGACGCACCCGTGAACAGCTCGTCGTTTCCACGATTCAAAGATCTCAGCACTGGCAGAAAATCTCAGCCATTCACATCTGCAGCTGATTTGATGATGGCAGAGTATTCTCCCTATAGTCAGACGAAAGTAAATTTACGTTTTCTCAATACCACGGTCAAACACTCAAAGACTTATCACGCGCTCAAGCAACTCGTAGGCTTCCTTCTTTGCACAAGTAGTCTGGCCCAGGGCACATCATGAGCTGAGGATTGTAATGGAGTCCGTACGATCACCTAAAATATATCTTGTTACAACCCCCTCCCCTTTTCACGGTTTAGTTTTGTTGTTTTTTCCAGGGCACGTCTTGCCGCTGGGGAAAATTTTCGGAAAACACAACCCCCCCCCCTGATTCCATCCTCTCATAGGACCCCCTCGCATCCCACCTATTCCTGTCACTTTCTCTGCAAATTCCCAAGAAGTTTCCAGATTTACCTCCAAAATTTCGCTTTCGAGCGAGGGACAGAGGGAGAAGAGGTATACAGTACACGTAAAAAATCTGCAAAAAGGGCCCAACTACCGGGGGAAAACGTTTTCCAGTATCGCAAATTTCTCTCAGACCTTGTCCTCTAAAACCAGAAGCAGAATACGAACCCCTTGTCCACCTTACTGGTAAGTAAAAAGGAAAAATGTACTAATCGAAAAAAATCCTTAGATCAGAATTACGACTCCCTGTTGGGAATTTTCCCCCCCCCAACAACGATGCCCTGCGCGTCTGGCCCCCCGTCGCTCAGAACTATCCAACTCTCATTGCCTGACGCTAAGGAACGATTAATGAGCGAGTGTGAGTTGCATTATATCGCTCTGCTGGCATAAAACGAGCAGATCTAATGTCCGGAAGAGGCCGCTTTAGGTCCTACTTAGTGTGTTTCCCTATGGGTTTTTTGGTTTTTTCCTCCCTAGAGAGTCATATGGCGACTGTAGGTTTGTAATCTGATGCCACTATCCGCAATGTACACTGTCGGGGTTTGTCTTATAATCTGCTTGGATCCTCCAGCTTTGTTGCTTCTTGGGTCAGGCACGACCGATTGCTTTTCAGTTTGATGATGTCAAGTGTCGCGCGGACTGTTTCTGTTCGTTACAGTGGAAGCGTTCAACAGCGATATACGCATGCTAATTGCTAAACGGACGACCCGGGCAAGCTTGTTCGACATACCAACGAAAAGCATTCTATGATCCCGTCATCGGACAGTTTTATTGTGAGAACGAAAGGGTAAGTGACGGCGCATAAATGTGATCCAGAAGTCTTTTCTAAGAAAGCTGAGCATCAGTAAAAGTCACAGTTCTGGTCTCTCAAAGACGTGCAGGTTGTGGGAGGGGGGAGCAGGGGGAGGACATAGCACCTGAACCGTAGGGTGCACCATCGGAATATACGTTCCTCCCATATCAACCTCTCCTATTTTCTGGATATACAACCCTCCTCTCTTTCGTTTGATGCCCTCGTAGTCCCGCCCCTTACTGTAATCGGATACGGGGTATACATGAAGGAGTCAAAGCAAAATTTTTCCTGAGTGTTATATAAGTAAGCTATCGTAGCATTTAACTGCACCGTCACGGGAGGATGAGGCCCGAAAGACAGTCCCATTCAAGACAGAAAGCTAAGAATGACCATTGTAAATCGTGCGAGAATCTGCGTATTTCTGCCGCTTTAAGTACAAGCCTCTGGGCGCCCAACCGAATTTGAAGGAGCTTCCCTACCAAGTGGTCTGGTCCGCTATTCCCTTAAAACTATCCGTTTATTATGTATTCTCAAAATTGTAAAGAAAAAAAGGATGTTTTGAAAATTGGTTGGGGGGGTCCTCATAAAAGGCGGTTCTGAAGCCTACCTCGTTGGCCCGCCCACTAAACCCTAAAGGTTTTTTTTCTGTCACGAGTTTCCTTTTCTAACAGAGCTTCTCATTTTTCATTGTTGGATTGTATTGGCAATGGATGACGCGAAGAAACGACTGATGAGGCAGGGATGGCACGATATCGCTTTGGTGGCATAGGTAGCGAACAACTCGTATATCATGGCTGTTAGGGGTCCTTGTAAGCTTGCTAGGGGGTCCAAAGATTTTTTTGTTATTTTTCTTCCCTGGACTAGTGCACTCAGTGATTATGGGTTCACCGCAGTGTGGCTAACCGCGTCAAATACTGCGCGCATGGTTAAACCCATGGTACTGGTCACTGAGGGGGTTTCTCTGCTGAGCACAACACTTGGCCCAATCCCCTTGTTTCGGAATACGGCCCATTTCATCGTGCTTCTCCCTTTTAATGAACTTGCCAATGACTGGGCTTATCACGTTTTTGACAACACTCGCCATTCGTTGGAAATAGGAAAGCTTAGCGTTGAAAGAGTTTCGGGGGTAATAACAGACGCAGAGTGAAATGTCTCACATCCTAGTACATACCTTAAGCAGCTTTTGGGACTTTTACTTTTTGTCGAAACTCGAGAGTTTAGCGTCGAATCAGTTCGGACTATAACTAAAAGGATAGAAACATCCTGGCTCACTAAGCCTTTGCCCACAGTTTCTTTGGCCAAGGTGATGTGACCATATACGGACTCCTAAAAGCCCTTGTCGGACACGATCTGAACTTGTCTCCCTCTACTACTGTTACCTTACTTGCTGGGGGCAATTCTCCAGTGTGGCTACAACTATGCTGCGAATTTTGGGGCTATCTTATCAGCTGTTATCGGCACGGGCCATACACCATAATGTTCCGCATCCTTGCCCACTATCTTACTCCTGTGGAAACCACACGTCCCGACGTTGCTGTGGCCGGCTATAAATTTAAGTGGCCTTCGCATTATAAGGACTCTTATGGGCATCTTTATCAGCTCTATCAGCTTCCATGCCACACATTCTACTAATGTTCCATCCTGCCCCCTTATCTCCAGCTGCTTGGAACCAACGTCCCGACGTTGCTGTGGCCGGCGCTATGAATTTAGTGGCCCTTCCCTTCTGAGGCTCCTTATGTTATCTTATCAGCTCTTATCACTTCCTGCCACCTACCAATAGTGTTCCTGCCCGACCTCCTACATCACTTATCAGTTTGAGCGCACAATCGCTGTTTTGAAGGAAGTTATGAATTTCCGGTCAAACAACAACATACAGACACACAAACAACATTCGACACACACACAGCCAAACAGACCAAGAACTTAGCGGATTATACATATTATAGTAAGGATGCCAACCGTAACCAATAAGTGTTTCCTGCGCCGACCATCCTAAACATCACTTATCAGTTTGAGCGCACAGTCGCTGTTTTGAAGGAAGTTATGAATTTCCGGTCAAACACACATACAGACACACAAACATACATTCACACACACAACACACGGAGCAACCAAACAGACAAGCTTAGCGGATATATATATGTAGGATAATTGAACGTCACAAGTAGCAATAGTAAATCAAAGTGGTTTCTAAACCACCCCCGTCTAGCTCACAGTAAGGCGCAGCTTCAAAGGGCAGCTGCGTTATTTTTGGGCAGGGTGCTGGTAGTTCGCAGGGCATAAGGGTCTTACCGAACCCTACATTGAACTGTTCGTGACAGTTTCCACATCTCGATGAGCACCATCCTGCTTCACACTGCGCTTGAGAGCATTTCGCTATAGAAGAGTTGCTCATATTTACCTCTTCCCTCAGATCCGGATACTGCTCCGCCAGAAGTACAGAATGTTATGCGAAGAGATGGTAAAAGATGATCAGATGGCCAACGATCGCTTCGTGATTGCTTCGAGGGTGCGCCCATCACTGCGTGAATACATAAGAAGTGCTGTTAGCCAGCGAAACAGTGACTTGAACTATTCTGCAGGTTACTGATCTTCGTCAAAGGATCCCTTCGCTAAGGGAATAACTCAGGAGTTATTGAATTGTTGCTGTTGAAATCTAATTCGATAACAAAATAATAGTTATGTGATGATTTTCAATCTTATTGTTCTGCCATATGCTCAAAAATGATCTAAATAAAAAGTTATCACACGGTTGTTCTACTGGTTGTTAACAAGTTGGCCTTATTGCATGCCCCCTCCCTATCAGTGTGCGGATGTGGGTACGCCGCCAACGAAATCGAGATACTTTTCTAGATGTGCACATAACAATACTGGCTAGAGAGCGATATCTGGCCTAAATGTGTCTGATCTGTTAGGAAAGAAATCCAGGGCGGGTTGTTGTGGTACACTCCATATCCTGGAAATAAGTTGGGCGTGGCTGCGTACTTCGTTTGAACATGGCGTAAAATTCTTCCTTGTGGATATTTCCATTCGATACAACTGTCATCGTGTCTTGAAATGGACAAGGACTTTACATCACAACTGTTCCTATAACAAAAGACTCCCAGAAACGCAGTAGCTACTAACAAGGGAATGGTTTGAACTTCCCATGGAACTTTGAATGGAGACCTAGGATCGATAGAGCCTCGAATGCTGATTACGAATATGCAGATTAAAAGTGCTACGGGGACCTCCCAGACGAGATCTGGGTGGTCAAAGTTTGAGTTCTGGCTCGTAAGCGCTGCTGATCGACTCTGAACATATTACCCATCCGACAATTCAAAGTTTTAGCGAGAAATTCGTTCATGGGACCCTTCATTCTTCAGACCCGTTCATTCGACCCCCT